AGGGACGAGCCTGCCCCCGCGGCGGCCGGGCCGCGGCTTCGCCTAGGCTCGCAGCGCGGAAGCGCGTGGGGCGCAGTGGTGGCGGGGAGCCTGCAGGCCTCCTCCGCGGCGGCCGAGCCGGGAGCCGGGAGCCCTGGGAGCACGCGGGGAGCCGCGCCCCGGCCGCTCGTCCGCAGCCCTCGAGGYTCTCCGTTTCACACAGTCTCGGGCTCAGATCAGGCGCCACGGAAGCCCCCTCCGTGACGAGAAGCGAAAAGAACGAAAAGCTCATTCCCTCGGCCGTGCGTTYCAGGGCGCCCAGGGCTACCTGCACGCGCCACCCGCGCCCGGGTTTCCGAGCCGCCGCGGTGCGGCCGGCGCTCGCGTCCCCCCCGGGAGGGCGCCACTGCTCCGCGCGCGCGTCCCTGGGCGCGGTGGGTCGGGCCGCGCTCCTTCCCGCGCCGCAGCTGGGCTTCTCAGATGCAGCCTCAGATCTCCAAGGTCCCAATGCTCGGAACAATTTCCCTGCTTTCCCCGAACTCCACCATTACTTTTTCTGGGATCCTCCAAATTTAAACATTGCTCCCCGGGGCCTGTAGATTCAGCGTTTTCACAGCTCACAATAATTTTTTGAACTTTATAATTTCCAAACATTAAAAAAAAAAGACCCCGCTGGCTTCCTCAGAGGTACACTACGTGGTTGAAGCCCCAAAATTTGTTTTCTCTGAGGTTCTTAACAATTTTACATACACCCGCCCCAAGATCCTAGAGCAACCCGGATCCCCCAAATTTCAACTGGAACCCCTTGGTCCTGTGGTAATGCTGACAAAATCTCCTGGCCCTCCAGGATGTGGACAGCATTCTCCCAAAACAAGTAGAATGTTTCCGTGTCCCTAAATTTTGAAATATTAATTTTAGGGTTTCCTAAATTGACTGTTCTGACTTCCCTGTATTTCAGCCCTGTTCCTGATTCACTACTGTCTGGAACACTATCCACCAAATTMTACAATCTTTTGTCCCCAACCTTTTCCCCTAAATTTTACACGTGGAATCTCAGGTCTACTCAACCCTCTGAGCAATTTTCCTAAACCCCTCAAAGATTGAACATTGTTTCCTATGCCTTCTCCCAAGTTTAGGCATCATACCCAAAGCCCCTTCTGAATAATCTAATTCTGATTTCCTGATCTCCATAAAATTAAATAACGCTTTCACCAATAATCCCTCGAACTCCATAAAATTAAAAAACGCTTTCACCAATAATCCCCCAGACTCATTGAGCAGCACCCTCCCACACACCACCACCACCACCATGGGCCACAAGGATTTGGGACCTTCATTTCCAAGGCTATACAAGCTTCCTGGCCACTAATCAGATTCTTTGCAATGTAGCCACTGTGACCCAGGCACCAAAAAACAGGCTGAATGATTACCTAAGAGGTGACCAAGTGTGAAAGAGGGTCTTCTACCCTCTCCCAAATCCCAAATACGTGGAGGCCCACGTATTGTGGTCACAATGTGTATAAAATCAACCTTGAGCAGAGCCTATTTCTTGTTCTACCAGGCGTTCTTGAATGTCCCCGTTTCCCCAAACATTTTGAGCTTTCTCTCTGCATCCACAACATTTTAAATATTAAAAAAACTCCCTGGGTCCTCCTAGTTTACTGACAAGAATCGGGTTTTCTAAAACTCCAATACCAATCCCAAATCCCAGGGTGACACTGGACCCTTTTCCTCATGTTTGCACATTCTGAGCTCCCTCAAATATTAGGTGATGCCCTCCAGCCCCCAAACACACTCAGTATTATCCTTGAGTTACAGGAAGGTGTAGATCTCCCGGCTGAAAAGTATCCATATTTAAGCAATATTTTCAGCAAACACACTGCACACTGCCTACAGATCACAAGTTTTGGACATCAATTCTCCAGGCTCTATAATTTAGAATTTCTTAATCCCTGTTCCTCAAATCAGATATTGACCCCCAAGTCGTCCAAGGATCCTGAGCAACTTCCATGAATTATTGGATTGAAAAATTATTTTCCAAAGATCTCCAAATTGAAGTACTTAAAACAAATTGAGATTTTTTTTTACCTTCACAGAACAACTGAGATTTTATTAAATTTTAATGAACTTTATGCCCCATGCCCTGAGTCCCCCTAAGTTTAAGCAATGTTCCATGGGCCCCCAAAGCACACCAGAAAATATCCCTGGTCCCACAAATCCTAGAATTTAGAGGTCTGTGTTGTATAAGTTTTCTAACTACTAACTTGGTTACCTGAAATTTAGATATCAGGTAACCAAATTATCAGAATTTAGATAGTTTCCCTTGGGTAATTTCCATGGATCCCCACATTTGGACTATTTTACTGTGGCTCCCCAAATGCAAACATGGTCCAGGAAAACATATAGCCTTCCCCCACCTTGTTCAACAAAAATAAACTAAGTAAAGTCTATTTTGCAAATTAAAATATAAAATGACATTGATTCTCTGCATTTCTCAAATATACTGCTTACAACCCGGGTTCCCCAAAGTTTAGAAAATGTTTCCCAAGTTGTTAAAGAACTTTGAGGATTTTCCACAAAGCCGCAGTAATTAGGAAGGTTATAGTGCTGTGAGTATCCAGGCCACTGACCTGCATTCTTAAAACGTGGACATTAATCCCAGCTTTTTCCTCTGACCCATTAAGAATTTGCCCAGATCCCCAAAATGCATCTGTTTTTCATCCCTAAAATCTTAGGCAATGTGCCTCTTAGATTCCCCCAAATTTCATGTAGAGAAAGTTATTCGATTCAACCAAAAAACCTCGCCCCCTTCTATTGATCTGGGATTTCGTGGGTCCTCTAGTTGCTAAAATGCTGAGTTCCCCCATTTCAGACTCGGATCACTACGACCCCCATTGCATGGAGGAATTTCCTTCACTCCCCAAACTTGGACGCTTTTTTTTTTTTTGAGTCTCAAATTTAGCCATTAATCATGGTTCCCCCCACTAATGAGTCTCCTCTGGGTTCCTCTGCTTCAGGACACTCATTCTCTGGGCTGCAAATAAGACAGAGCTCTGATTTCCGATCCCCGAAATTTGGGCATTGTTCCCGGCCCCGCCAGTCGCCCTAGGCTTCCTCAATCCTTCAAGCAGTGGGCACTGGTTTCTGGCCTCTTCTCGGCTCCTACGGAATCCCCAGAGCAACTTCGGGTTTTGGAAATTTCTCTGTGTGTGCCGCAAACACACTTAGGACGGCCGTGCGACCTCCAGGACGTGGGCAGTGCTTCTCCCGCGTCCAGGAAAACGACTGGGCATTGCCCCCAGTTTCCCCCAAATTTGGGCATTGTCCCCGGGTCTTCCAACGGACTGGGCGTTGCCCCCAGACATTGGGGACTGCCCCCGGGGTCTTGCTCACCTTCAGCAGAGTCCACTGCTCGCCACAGAGCGCTCGCCCGCCTGCTGCCTCGGCTCCTCGTGCACCCGCGGACACAGCCTCCAGCTTCGCGGTGAGCTCCCCTCTGTGCTGGTCCTGCCACTCTGCGGCCCCAGCCATTCTCCTACCCGCACCCGCTGCCCCTCCTGGTGCTTGTCTACGGCGGCAGCCCCAGGCTGATGAGAGGCGCGGGAACCCGCTGCGTGCTTCCCGCTCAGCGGCCGCAATCCCTCGGGCAGAGCGCCCCGAAACTGGCGCCACTTTTGTTGAAAGATCTCAACTGTTGGAAAGCGGCGTGGATCCCCCGAACCGGTGTGGGCAGGGCGCTGGGTCGGTGGGATGCGGAGGAGAGGCGCTCCCCATCCGGGCGGCGCGGCGCCTCCAGGCCGCGGGGCCAAGGACTTGGGGAGGCGCGCGCGGAGCGCGGGCGCAGTGATTGATGGCGGAGCAAGGGGGCTAGCTGGCGCGCGGGTTTCCGCCGCCCGCGGCCCCTTCCTCTCGGCGAGGCGCGGGCAGCGCGGGCTGCGGGGGGCGGGCGGAGTGCAGGGGCTTGTGAATGGTTTTGACTTGGCAAAAATCACAATGCCTTCTTACATCGTCCAAACTCTCCAGGAGATGGTTTCCCCAGACCCCCAAATTATCGTGGTGGCCCCTGGGGCCGAACCCGAGTCTACGCAAGTCCAACGCACTGAGGACGGGGGAACCATTATCCGGATATTTTGGGTGGGTCCCAAAGGCGAGCTGCTTAGACGCACCCCGGTGAGCTCGGTCATGCAGGTAGGATTTGAGCTACTTTTCCCGCCCTGCTTTTTTCTCTCCTGACGGGCGCAGCCTCCGCAGACAAGTTCCACGCCTGGCCCAGATTTGGCCGGGCCCAACTGGCCTGCACCGTGTCCCGCACCTTGCAGCCGCCTTGGCTGCTCGGGGCTCCCGCGCGGTACCGCGGCACCGGGGGGCGCTCCGGATCCGGCTGCGACTCGAGGTGCTTCAGAGCCCGCTCTGCCTGCTTGGGCAGGTGGCGACTGTGCGCCCCACCCGAGCCTGGGGTTTCTCCCCTCTCCTGGCATCTCCCAGCTGGGACCCCAAACCCAGAGCTGGGCCACCTGCGCCGGGACTCTGACGGGACGCCCCGCCACGTAGAACCCTGACAAGGCACCGGGACCCCCACTACCTAGGGTCGGGGATGYTCATCCCGCGCCCGCTCCGCACGAATGCAGGGTGCCCTAGCACCCCGGAAACCCGGGATGAGGCCCCAAATTCTGTCGAACGGGGATTCGATATTTCGTTCAACTTTTGCGGCTCCCAGCCCCCCACCCCGGCTTCGCTTCCGCGCACCCCACGACCCCCCCAACCGTCGCCCCCCGGGCCCGGGGCCCCCAGCCCGCGTTCCCTCCGGTGGCTCGAGTTGCGGGGGCGGTCCCGGGGCGGGGCAAGGGCCCTGCGGGCGCCCATTGGCGCGGGCGCTTGGCCAGCGGGGCCCGAGCGGGCGCCGAGCCGCGGGGTGGCGCGGCTATAAGAGCCGGCGTTGGCGCCCGCAGTTCGCCTGCTCTCCGGCGGAGCTGCGTGAGGCCAGGCCGGCCCCCGGCCCCCCCCTTCCGGCCGCCCCCGCCTCCTGGCCCACGCCCGCCCGCGCTCGGCCCGCCAGCGCCTCCATCCGGGCTGGCGGCCCCGCGTCGACGCCGTCCGTCGCCTCGCTGCTAACTCCCGTACCGGGCGCCGTCGGCGGGGCCGCGCTCCGTCGGGCCTGCGGATTCCCCGCCGCCTCCTCCTCCATCTACCTCAACACCCCGTCCCCGCTTCGCCGGAGGAGGCGGTCCCCCCCGCAGGCAGTCCGGCTTGCAGGCCGCCGGCGTTGTCATCCCCCGCGCTCCCCCCCAGCCCTCCCCCGGCGCGCAGCCCGGCCGCTCCCCCTTCCGCGCTGCGTCCCGAGCGGCCCCCGGCGCCGCCACCGCCTGCCCCCCCCCAGAGGCCCGGGCTTGCGACGGCCGAGGGCTCCGTCGGCCCATACCGAGCTGGGCGCCCGCGGCCTGGGTGACGCCTCCTCTCCGCCCCATTCAGCACCGTCCCCGGCCCTCGACGTTGCGCTCTTCCCTTGGCTTCTCCGCCCCGCTCTCTCTCCGCGCCTGGCGCGGCCCCGCTCTCCCACCGCCACCTTTCCCGGGCTCCCTCCCGCCCCCCCCCAGATCCTTGCCTCCAACTCCCTCCCCCCTCAAGCCCGCCCTCTGCCTTCGCCTACCAAAGTGGATTAATTATACGCTTTCTGTTTCTCTCCGTGCTGTTCTCTCCCGCTGCGAGCCTGCCCGCCTCTCGCTGTCCTCTCTCCCTCTCGCCCTCTCTCTGGCCCCCCCCTTTCACGTTCACTCTGTCTCTCTGACTATCTCTGCCCCCCTCTATCCTTGGTACAACAGCTGACCTCATTTCCCGATACCCTTTCCCCCCCGAAAGTACAACATCTGGCCCGCCCCAGCCCGAAGACAGCCCGTCCTCCCTAAAGAAGCAGAAGAGTCCCCCCCCAAAAAAAAGCCATCCCCCCGTTCTGCCCCGTCGCACATTCGGCCCCAGCGACTCGGCCAGAGCGGCGCTGGCAGAGGAGTGTCCGGCAGGAGGGCCTTCGCCCGCTGTTCGGCTTGCGCTAAAGCAGCAGGGAGGTGGGCGGCAGCTTCGCGGCTTCCAGGTAAGCGCGGGCCGCGGCCGGGAGGGCAGGCGCGGGCGCGCGGGACGCCTGGCCCTTCCTCCCGCGGGGTTCGGCGGGGAATGGCCCGCCAGGGACAGAGGTGGGGCGGGGGTCCCGTTCGCTCTCCGTCGCGCTGCTGAGTGGGGGAGGGGGAAGGGGCGTCGGGCTGCGCCGGGGAGGTGTGAGCCGTCTGCTCAGGCGACTTCCTGGTTGGCCTGTGGGTCCAGGGGGTTGCTGAAAATGTGCTATTTGTGCCATGCGGGACCCTGTTGCTTCAGGGTGCTGGGTAATGAGGAGGGGGGCAACGTCCCAGAAGCCCACCCTGGMGTGTTGACTTGGTGCCAGCAAGACTGAGAGGAAAACTGGGTGGGTGGGGCCAGGAGGGGCGCCGAGTTGGCAAAACAGTCATGCCAGGCGCCACATTTGCAAAAGATTCTCCCGACACCCCCTATCTCTGCCCCCAACATTTCCAGTGGAGAATCTGGGGAGAGGGGCCGGTTTGAATTTCAGAAGTACAGGGGTGTACTGCTCAGAGAGGGGTAACTTGTCCTACCCTTGGGCAGCATGGAAGTTTCCATACAAGGAGGTGGAAAGGAGCCCCCCGCCCCCATTGCCCTGTGCAGAAATGGTCTGGGGGTGCAAACTGAGCCCCCCTCGTGGTACTCTGAGGAGGGATGGACCAGGGCTGGCGTTGGGGGGGGGGTGCAGGAGAGATGGGACTGGCTGGAAGGAGGGAGGGGGCGGGTGCAAAGGGGGCGGGGGGAGTGGTCAGCAGGGAGGGGGTGGGATAGGGTGGAGCCGGGGCTGGGCGGAGCCGACTTAGACATAAAAGCCGAGGCACTGACCAGCTTGCAAACTGGACATTAGCTTCTCCTGAGAGAGACTTCCAGCCTCCTCCTCTTCCTCCTCCAGCTTCGGCGAGCCCTGTCCAGAAGCAGGTAACAGGCCTGTGGAAGAGGCCCTGCTGCCATCCTGCTCGGTCTGCTTGGCGGCCCAGGGTACTGCCCAGCCTCAGGCCTGGGCCCTGCAGCGGGGCCTGCTGCTCTCACAGGCTCTCCTCTCCCCAGCCTCTGCCCTGCACTCCCACCTGTTTCCCTGCCGCCTCACCTGCTCCTTTCTCTTCCTTCCTTCCCCTCTGCTTCTCTCCTCCAACAACTTTTGGGCTTTTTCCCACCCGGCCCTCACCTGTCTAGCACCTCCACATGCCTCTTGGCCAGTCCCTGGCTTTCTGCTGATACCCTGGGCTGGACCTGGATCTAGAGTGGTCGGGTGTTCGGAGGGGTCTTCACGGGCAGCAAGATGGAGCTGCCCCTCGACTCACTGCAGCCGAGTGGCCAGCCACTGTTTGCTGCTAGAATTTAGAAGGGGTGGTAGAGGGAGGCTGGCTGGGGTCCTGTGGAGGAGGTGGGCAAGGTGACTTTTAGATCCTCCTGCAGAACTGGCTAGTGCTCCTCAGGGAGCTTAAAGAGATGGTTTCTTATTTCCCGCTGCTCCGTCCTGCATATGATTTATTGCATCAAGAAACCCCTGGGCCTGCGGAGAGAAGGCTGGGGCTGCCGGCCTGGAGGGCTCCACCTTCCGCAGGGGCAAGGGCAGCTGGCGTGTTTTCCCAGCCTCCCACCAGTAACCCTTGCCCTCAAAGCCTTGGGCTTGGAGGGGGTGTGTCCTGCCATGAGCCGCCCCTTCCAGGTTGGGCCTGGAGGGTCCTGGTGTCTGGCCTCCCAAGTGGCCTGACCCGCTCCCTCCAGCTCCCTCGGTGGAGTTTGTATTCCAGTCGGGAGATGCTCTGATGGTTCTGGAGGGACTCGGGTCCCTGGCACTGGGTGGTGTGAGTAGAGACCGGGAAAGGGGATTTTTGGCTTTCTCGTGAGTTTGGGGGCACCCGTGACGGGCTGCATTTGGGCTGTGTGATCTGAGAGCAGTGCTCTCTGAGTGTGGGCGGCATGGTGGCTCTAACCATTGGGTCCTTGACCTGAGCTTTGCTAGTGCAGCCTGGAAGGGAGAGGGCAGGAGGGGCTAGCCCAGCAGGACATGCCTGCGGCTAGGGAGGGATGGTCCGCCTGGATCCCCCTGTCCTGCTGGGGGGTGGGGAAGACAGGGACCAGTCAGTCCTCTTGGAGGCACATGCTCCACAGTGGGGTGGAGCCATCTGCCATCTTGGCAGGCCTTGGAAGGGAGCAGTGGTGACGTGACCTTGGGTTGGCCCCACCCCCACGATGTCCCAGGAGGGAGGCCAGTGTCCAGCACGGCCCCTGTGGCTGTGGGTGTGGCTCAGCTCCTGCAATTCTGACCACGGTCTGGTGGTCCCCACACAAAATTGCTGCCATTTCCTGCAACTCAAAGCCGTGGAGCGCTTGCGTGGCTCCCAGAATCTCTCCCTTTTCCAGGCGGCCTAACCCTTCAAGCATGTGTGTTGTTTTTGAAATTAAAATAATGGCATCAAGAAAGCTGGGCTTTTGGATTTCAGTGACTTTCAGCTTAAGAAGGGGGGGCACCTCTGGCAGGGAGGGGCCTGGACCCCGGGTGTGGCCGGCGCTCACTGTGGTTTCTCCCGCAGATACCAATGGGGATCCCAATGGGGAAGTCGATGCTGGTGCTTCTCACCTTCTTGGCCTTCGCCTCGTGCTGCATTGCTGCTTACCGCCCCAGTGAGACCCTGTGTGGCGGGGAGCTGGTGGATACCCTCCAGTTTGTCTGTGGGGACCGCGGCTTTTACTTCAGTAAGTAGCTCCAAGGGGTGGGGCGGTGGGGGGTTCCACAGCAGGCACTGAATCAGACCGTGGGATACAGCCCCCGCCCCCCTGGCCTGAGGTGGAGGGGCCCCGCCCTGACTCTGGCCCCTCTAGCAGGTACTGAGCCACAGTGGGAGGTGGCTGGGGGTCCAGGCTCAGGCGGGGAATGGGGGCGCTTGCCTTTTCCCCTGCACCATTTTAACGGGGCCCATGTGCTTGTGGATGATCAGATGTCAAATCTGACAGATCTCAGATCAATAAGAATTAAGCAAACGTGGCTGGGGGCAGGGCTGTTTGTCCTCAGCTTGGGAGTAGGGAAAACACGGGGCTCTAGGGCCGCACTGTGGGGCGCCCACCTGCCTTGACACTGCTCACTCATGCTTCTCTCTCTTCATTTTCCAGCCTGGGGAACTGGGGACACTTGGGTGGGGCTGGAGGGGAGGGGCCTCAGGAATGTGCCTCCTCTTGCCGGCATGGACTGCCTGTCTACCCCTGGCACTGGCCAGGTGGTCTCTTCCTCTGCAGCCTCTACTTACCTACTTGTGAAACGGGCTCACAGAATGTACCTGCATTTCAAAGCTTCTCTCTGAAAGGCGCTGCTGCTGCTGGATACCCTTGAAGCCCCTGCTGCCTGGCCCCTCTCTTGCGCTCCCTCTCGCCTGCCTCCTTGGGGGGGCAGGATGTGGCACTGCGGGGGGCCTTGGTCCTTGCTCTGGGAGTTGCTTCCCTACACTGGGCTTTCCTAAGCAGAGAGCTGGGCCGAGCCCCTCGTGGGTCCCCGAGATGGGGCTCCCTGTCCCTACCCCCACAGATGACGCCTGCCCTTTGGCGCTCCAAGGTGAAGTCCCCAGCGACCCCGTACTCCCAGCGAGCCTCGGACCTGAGTGCCGTGGGGGAGAGGGGGAAGACGGGAGATGAGAAGAGAGCGGTTATGCGGCTCCTCACTCCTCCCCTCCCGTCTTGTTCTCTCCTGCCCGATCCTCCTGGTCTCAGCGCTTGGGGGACTCTGGGCTCTGAGGCCAAGCCTGGCCAGAGCCCCGAGACCTGGGGCCACACTCATGTGCACCCTATGGGGCCGTGCCCCTCGCTGGGCTCACACCCCACCCGTTTTCAAACCACCTGCACGTGGGCTGTGCCTGATTCAGACAGGAGGCAGGAGGCACCAGAGGCCAGGGGCTGGTCCCGCAGCAGCCTCTTTTCTCTCTCCTTTCTGGGCTCTTCTTCCTGCCCGACTCTCGCTTTTCTCCCCCCTCCCCGCAGGGTGATGGAATGTCCGGGCCTAGCCTGAGGACAGGGGTGGCTGCCTCTTTCTGCAGCCTTCTCTGGGGGGGGGGGGGTCTGATGGGTGTTAACCTCCACTCTTTGTCCTGTGGGTCTTCCAGGCAGGCCCGCAAGCCGTGTGAACCGCCGCAGCCGTGGCATCGTCGAGGAGTGCTGCTTTCGCAGCTGTGACCTGGCCCTCCTGGAGACCTACTGTGCCACCCCCGCCAAGTCCGAGAGGGACGTGTCTACCTCTACGACCGTGCTTCCGGTGAGCCTGGCACCTCTGCTTACCCAGAGACAGGGACAGGACGTTAGGTATTTGTTTTAGCAGCTGGGACTTTTTAGCCAAGGGACAGGGGTGCAAGGGACAGGGGTGGGGCAGGGGCATGGATAGGTCAGGGGGAGCCAAGTTTGGAGCTGACACCCACCACCAGCCCCTTCCTTCTCAGGACAACTTCCCCAGATACCCCGTGGGCAAGTTTTTCCAATATGACACCTGGAGACAGTCCGCCCAACGCCTGCGCAGAGGCCTGCCTGCCCTCCTGCGTGCCCGCCGGGGTCGCATGCTAGCCAAGGAGCTGGAAGCGTTCAGAGAGGCCAAGCGTCACCGTCCCCTGATCGCCATGTCCTCCAAAGATCCGGCCCACGGGGGTGCCTCTTCGGAGATGTCCAGCAATCAGAAGTGAGCCAAATTGTTGTGATTCTGCAGTGTGTACCATCAGCTCTGTGACCTCCTCTTGACCAGGGACATTTCCATCACGTCCCACCATTCAGATCTCTCTGTTCCATTTCTGCCCTAGGGCTTCTCCCACCCAGCCCCCATGCCCCGCCTCCCCACATCAGGCGACCCCTCAGCCCCCCTCCACCGGGCTGAGGGAATGACACCACCTTCAAAAACCAAAACCAATTGGCTTTAAACATCTTCCACAGAGACCCTTCCCCCAAATTATACATCCACACCTAAAAGTTGGAAATTTGAACCCCTAAATGGTTATCTCACACACACTCTATAGCCCCACTTGAAATTCAGTTGACTTGTTCAGAAACATCAGAAACACTAATTCCCTTTTTTAAAAAAAACTACTAAAAAAAAAATCAATTGGCTAAAAAAAATACTAAAAAATTAATTGGCTTAGAAACAATTGGCAAAATAAAAGAATTTGGCACGCCCCCCCCTTCCTTCTCTTCCCCTTTGGACCTTGAGTCAAATTGGCTTGGACTYGGGTCCCTAAACCATCCAGAGAAAGGAAGGGGCCCTGCTGCACCGTCTCCCACAGCAACGCCCAGGCTCGTCCTCCACTCGACTTACCACCATGGGCCGCCAGGGAACTGGGCGAGGGACCCAGTAAGACCACAGCCCGGGAAGGGAGCAGGAAAACCTAAACCTCACAAACAGGTTTTAATTGGCACCACCCCCTCCCCCAAAATCTCACATCTCACCCCCTGCCTCGGAAGGCACACAGCAGCCCCCAGCCACACACACTGAACACTACCCTCAGCACATTGCATACACACTCACACACACCCTCACTCACACTCACACACACACTCACACACACCCTCACTCACACTCACACACTCACATACACCCTCACTCACACTCACTCACACACACCCTCACTCACACTCACACACTCACATACACCCTCACTCACACTCACTCACACTCAACTCACACTCACACACACACGCACCCTCACACCCCCACAAAACTAGATGAAGCGGTGAGAATCGCTCACCAGCGCCCCTTGCACAGATCAGGCCTAGGTCCATCCCAAATTCTCTGAACTGTTTTCGTGGTCCGAGCTCCCTTCCTGCCCACGGCTTTCGGGGCCAGTGCTGTGGGGCATTACATCTGCCTGGGGCGCACGGTAGGGTGGGAGATGGTGCGGCCCAGGCCCAGGCAAACGGTTCCATCTTTCCCCATGAGGGAGGTGCCTGTCCCCACGGCCCCGCTGAGCCATCATGGTCCCCAGACCCCACCAACGTCCATGCCCTGTCCTTGTGTGTCAGCCTGGCCGGAGTGAGGGACGAATCTGGCCAGATGGAGATGTGGAAGTCAGCAGTCATGTTCCCAGAGTAGCCAGGCCTGGGCGTGCATCTGGAGAGACCTGGGGGGACCCCCGGCATGCCCAGGAGACTGGCCCTGATGTGGGGAGTGTGGGAAGTCTGGCGGTTGGAGGGGTGGGTGGGGGGCAGTGGGGGCTGGGTGGGGGGAGCTCTGGGGTAAGAAGTGGTCCCGGGAGGTTTTGGCTGGATGTCAGGAGGAAAAGCAGTTGAACTTGCAGAATTACCAAGAGAAATCAGATCCCAAATTTTACGTCAATTGATCTTTTCCCCCCTTTGTTTCTTGGGGCATATTTTCCTTTTTTTTTTTGATCCCTCCTTAGCTTTTCATGCGCTCATCAATTAAATTACTCCCTTTCCCCGTAACAGGGGAGCAGTGACAAAGTATGGAGCCCTACCACCGGCACCCACACCTCCTGCTCCCCGCCATTTATCACCCTTGATTTGATTTTTTTTTAATCTGTCCCTTTTGCTTGGGTTGAGTTGGGAGTGGAGCCTTCATGGGGTTCCGGCCACTGTGCCCCATGGAGAAGCCAGAGGGGAACTGAGAAGGCCACTTCCCGGCCTGGCATCGGGGACTGTGGCTGGTCCCCGGAGGCTCTGAGGGGCGGAGGAGGGCTGGGGCAGTGTCTCCTCAGGTGTCAGGAGGGTGCTCGGAGGCCACAKCGGTGGGCCCCCGGCCGGCCTGTGGCTGGCTGGGGGGGAAGGGGATGCAGATGTGTAAGCAGAAGGGCTCCATCAGGCGGGAGCAAGTGGCCGCCCTCCGCACACTTGGGGAACACTCCCCTCCCTCTGTGACACCATGCCCGCTCCTCAGCACCCCACCTTGTCCACAGGAGGTCCAGAGCTCTGTGGAATCTCCTTTGGTCAGGGTGGGGTGAGGCCAGGGAGCAGGGGAGGTCAGGAGGCTCTGAGCCCGCAGAGCAGGAGAGCTGGCCATCAATGGGGTCGCTTGGGCCCCGAGGCCCGCGGGTCTGGCAGTGCTGTGGCAGCCACCCACAGCGCCTAGGACTGTGGCAGGGACCTCGGGCGGCTGGAGGCCTACCTCACCCCCACTCCTGCCTCCAGTGCAGTCCCCCTGCACAGCAGTCCGACTAGCAATCTAGGGGCCTGAGGCTTCTGGGCCCTAGCGACAGGACTGGCATGACCCTGGGGGCGGTCCGTGCCAGCCCGACCTCAGCACAGAGGGTCCCTCAGCAAGTGCCTGGAGAATGGGCCATTCGGAACATTGGACAGAAACCCAAGCACAAAGTTGTTTTGATTGAAGAGTCGAATTGGCCTGAGATCCAAAACACTGCGAGGCACCCTAAATTCCCTGCCCATTCGGTGGGACACCCACCCACAAACAGTGTTACGTTTTGCCTCGCTGGGCTGGGTGCTCCTGGGGTACTTGCACTCTGCCCTCTGTGTCCCCAAACGTATGGCTCTCCCTGGGTCGCTGGCCATCCTGACCCGGGCACCCATCTGGCCTCCCGTGCCCTAGTGTGGTCCTCCATCTTGTCTCTTCCCCCACGTCCCCCCCCCCAACTGTCTTCAGCAGGACCCCCTCTTGGGTCCCTCCCTTTGCCATCACCTGAAGACCCCCCACGCGACGAACACCTGTGTCACCTTGCCGCCTGTGTTGGTCCATCATGCAGCGGCCCTGTGTTTGCCTCAACTTGACCCCTTTAACATGCTAATACTTCTGGCAAAATCCAATGCTTGGGTTTTGTCTCTAACTTGTTATCGCTCGCAATCCCAATAAAGCATTTAAAATTATTTTCTGAGTTCTTCCCTTTTTTACTGGGGAGGGGAGGGAAGGGAAGGGCAGGGGTGATTGGGGAGGAACGGGGCAGGGGGTTTGGAGGGGAGGGAAGGCCTCAGAGGTGTGGACCTCTTGGTCCCCCCCAATCACACAAGGACAGGGTGGGACTCCCCCTGAAGCTGGGGGCTGGGACAGTGTCAGGCACCCACTGCTCAAAGCAGAGGTACTGTGAAGTGGGAGAGGGCTGTGGGCTTTTCCAAGGGAAGAGTCCAGGGTCATCATGCAAACCCCAGGGTTGGGGACGGGGCTCATCACCTGGAAGGCTTCCCTGCCTATTCCTCCCCTGGACCCCACCCCCCAGACAGAAGGGGGCAGTCCCCAAGCTCAGGAGGAGGTTGTAGCTGGCACCAGATGCTTGAAGGCTGGATGGCCTCCACCCCCCGTGGTGGGAGAGGGGCTGGGCAGCCTGGAGAGGGGGTTCCACAGTGAGAAGGAGCCTCCCGATTCTCAGTGTCTGGTTGGTGTGGCCTCCCACCCTGGCCCTGGGGACTCCACTTGTCTGCTCTTCTTACTGACTGGGTGCTGAGCTGGCACCCGGCTGCGAGGGTTTGCAGTGGCAGGCACCCTGCCCAGGAACTCCTCTCAGACCCCCTTGGGGTGAGCAGTGGTCAGAGGGGGCTGCCTCAAGGGGTCAGGGTCAGCCTTGAGGGTGAGGAGGACTGGGGGTTGGATCTAGAAGGCAGCAGGCCCCTCTTGAGGCAGCCCCAACCAGGCAGAGGAGAAGCTGGTGTGGGACCCTGCTCCGTGGGCCGAGGTGGTATCAGCCCAGCTCCCATAGTTGCCTCTGAGACCCTTCTGGGTGGTGGGGTGGAGGCCCAGCCCTGAGCTGCCCTGAAGCCCCTTGCAGATCTTCCCCACTAGCCCCATACCAGAATCTCCCGAGGCCCACTGTAGTCCTGACCAGACCATCGTCCTCGGCCCCTGAGCTCCCCAGGCCTGCTTCTCCTGGACCTGCGGCCCTGGGTCAACTCACACTGGCGTTTGCTGAACCCCGTGCCCTCTCTAGCTGCCCCTGCCCCATCCCAGGGGCTCCCCTAGCAGCTTCCTCACTCCGACCCCCACCCCTGTTGGCCCTGACTTCCTCAAGACCCATGACGTCCCCTGGCCTCCCCCAAGTCCTCAGGATAACCCACTCCTTGGCCCAATCCCCTGGGTCAGCCCCGTCTCTCAGCAGGGTCCTTTAGGCTCACCCTGCCCTCACCTACTGGGCTTGGCCAGCCCCTCCAAAGGTGTCTAGGACTGCCTAGGGCCCTCTCTGTCTCTTCTCTGCAAATTCTTGGTTTATCCAGAATCTGCACCCACCCATCCATTCCTTCACCCACCCATCCCCCACCTGCCTATCTATCCATTCACTCACCCACCCACTCACCCATCTACACATCCACCTATCCACCCACCCATGCACCCACCATCCATTCATTCACCCCCCATCCACCAAACCATCCACACCGCCAGTCACCTATCTACTGTCTTCCCTCCCTCCCTCCCTCCTTCTGTCTGTCCATCCACCCTTCCATCCAACCAGCCATCCAGGCATCTAGCTAGCTGACCATGGTCCACCCATCCACACAAACAGATGGGCACCCCTCTCTGCAGGACGCTCCAGGCTGGGAGATGAGCAGGTGCTATGGAGGGGCCGGGAGGCTCTTTTGAGCTGGGCAGGCCCTGAGGAGAAGCTGAGCCTGGAGAAGAGACCTGGAGAGGTGAGGAGGTGTGTGCAGTGTGGGAGGGCGTGACGGGGGTGGGTCTGGACTGTCAGGGCAGCACTGGGGCAGGGTGGGGCTGCAGCAGAGGAGGGGTCCCGTGTAGGTGGTGAGGTCCAGTTGGAACAGGGGCCAGGGGCCAATGCCATTAACCCACAGTGAGATGTCTGGTAGCCCTCGGAAAGACACACACACATCCTGACTCTGAGTCCCATGAAGGTGACCTTATTTAGAGAAAGGGTCTTTGCAGAAGGATCTTGTGATTAGGTCTTCTTGGATTTAGAGAGGGCCTAACTCAAATGACAGGCATCCTTGGGCCAGAAGAGGAAAAGTTCACACAGGAGCATGGCCACCTGAAGCCAGAGGCAAAGGCTGGAGTAATTCTG